GGAGGAACGTTACTATTGACATTGTATGAGGGAGGAACGTTTATATTGACATTGTATGAGGGAGGAACGTTTATATTGACATTGTATGAGGGAGGAACGTTACTATTGACATTGTATGAGGGAGGAACGTTTATATTGACATTGTATGAGGGAGGAACGTTTATATTGACATTGTATGAGGGAGGAACGTTTATATTGACATTGTATGAGGGAGGAACGTTTATATTGACATTGTATGAGGGAGGAACGTTTATATTGACATTGTATGAGGGAGGAACGTTACTATTGACATTGTATGAGGGAGGAACGTTACTATTGACATTGTATGAGGGAGGAACGTTTATATTGACATTGTATGAGGGAGGAACGTTTATATTGACATTGTATGAGGGAGGAACGTTTATATTGACATTGTATGAGGGAGGAACGTTACTATTGACATTGTATGAGGGAGGAACGTTTATATTGACATTGTATGAGGGAGGAACGTTTATATTGACATTGTATGAGGGAGGAACGTTACTATTGACATTGTATGAGGGAGGAACGTTTATATTGACATTGTATGAGGGAGGAACGTTATATTGACATTGTATGAGGGAGGAACGTTTATATTGACATTGTATGAGGGAGGAACGTTTATATTGACATTGTATGAGGGAGGAACGTTACTATTGACATTGTATGAGGGAGGAACGTTACTATTGACATTGTATGAGGGAGGAACGTTTATATTGACATTGTATGAGGGAGGAACGTTTATATTGACATTGTATGAGGGAGGAACGTTTATATTGACATTGTATGAGGGAGGAACGTTTATATTGACATTGTATGAGGGAGGAACGTTTATATTGACATTGTATGAGGGAGGAACGTTTATATTGACATTGTATGAGGGAGGAACGTTTATATTGACATTGTATGAGGGAGGAACGTTTATATTGACATTGTATGAGGGAGGAACGTTACTATTGACATTGTATGAGGGAGGAACGTTTATATTGACATTGTATGAGGGAGGAACGTTTATATTGACATTGTATGAGGGAGGAACGTTACTATTGACATTGTATGAGGGAGGAACGTTACTATTGACATTGTATGAGGGAGGAACGTTTATATTGACATTGTATGAGGGAGGAACGTTTATATTGACATTGTATGAGGGAGGAACGTTTATATTGACATTGTATGAGGGAGGAACGTTTATATTGACATTGTATGAGGGAGGAACGTTTATATTGACATTGTATGAGGGAGGAACGTTTATATTGACATTGTATGAGGGAGGAACGTTTATATTGACATTGTATGAGGGAGGAACGTTTATATTGACATTGTATGAGGGAGGAACGTTTATATTGACATTGTATGAGGGAGGAACGTTTATATTGACATTGTATGAGGGAGGAACGTTTGGTGACCAGACCACACACCAGAAACTGTCCGTCCTGGGCCATTATCAAGTGGTGTAACAGTCCGGCACTTCAAGCAGGAATATCTATTTTTTTTCTTGAAGACAAATTATATTCTAACAATACTTCTTTTGCCTGCTGGGAGGGGACTGAATAGCATTGGATCTCTGACGTTCATACAATGCTCTCTGGTTGTTCCCATGGCATCCAACTACTTGGGGTGGACGGAAGAGCGACGGTATCGCTTCATTCAAGTCGGCGTTCAATTCCCGACCGTCCAAATGGTTGGGCACCATTCCTTTACCCCGTTCACTCCCAAATCCTTATCCTGATTGAGTAATTGATGAATATTAGGCCACCCAAGAGTTGCACGGGCATGAATAGCCCGTAACTTATCCTGACCACTTCCAAGTGCTATATAGTCGTAAAGGTTTCGAGCTTTCCCCTGATAGTTCTCCTCACTTTCTCACTCTTTGAAAAACTTTATGTGTTATTTTAGTGCGGTCTAAAGCTTTTAGCCAGTGCTTTGCTATCTCCCTGTTGCAGGTGAGCTACATCTACTGAATCTATATCTACTGAGCCATATATCTATCACAAATGAGTATGTGATAGATATAATTGCCATAATTGCCTTACCTTACCTCACGTGTTTCTGGTATCTCTCCTATATCCAAGATATTTATTGTCTATGTTACACTGAGCCTACTGGTACTTTACATTTATTTTTAAATATGGGATTCCAAGAGTCAGACCCCGGGGCTGAGGGAGGGAATTGTCAGGGGAAAACGTAGTAGTCACTATGTAGTCATCATGACTACATAGCAACCCCGGGGTTAAGTTCCTGGACGTGTTGTCAATTCCCTTTTCAAAATCAGCTCTGCTCGAGTTAACATGAGCCAAGGGTTCGGATATCGTTGTTGTGGAGTTAGTTAGGGGCGTCGACGATAGAGGGATTGGATGCGCCTTGGCATACCCGAGGAGAGTTAACCACGAAGCCTAATGGCGAAATGAATGACGCCTATAGGCGGAAACATATGTGCTTGGCGGCCAATAAACACACAGATGGGCAGATGATTGGGCATCAGTCGCTTTCAATCTGATAAAAGTTACGAATTGAAAGCGGTTGATTAAACTGAAGAGAGTTACTGAGGGAACCCGCATTCACCTCACTGGAAGAGAGAGAATAAGAAGTTGAAATGAAACTGTTCAAACTGCAGAGAGGAATTGATAGATTTGTCAAGGAGATTGAAACATCAAGAAGGGGTGAGGTAGGTTAGGTTAGAAACCCATCCCCCTGCCACACCCTGTCACAAAGACTATCCCCCTGCCACACCCTGTCACAAAGATTATCCCCCTGCCACACCCTGCCACTAAGACCGTCCCCCTGCCACTAAGACCGTCCCCCTGCCACACCCTGCCACTAAGACCGTCCCCTGCCACACCCTGCCACTAAGACCGTCCCCCTGCCACACCCTGCCACTAAGACCATCCCCCTGCCACAAAGACTGTCCCCCTGCCACACCCTGCCACACCCTGCCACTAAGACCGTCCCCCTGCCACTAAGACCGTCCCCCTGCCACACCCTGCCACTAAGACCGTCCCCCTGCCACACCCTGCCACTAAGACCGTCCCCCTGCCACTAAGACCGTCCCCCTGCCACACCCTGCCACTAAGACCGTCCCCCTGCCACACCCTGCCACTAAGACCGTCCCCTTGCCACACCCTGCCACTAAGACCGTCCCCCTGCCACACCTTGCCACACCCTGCCACTAAAACCGTCCCCCTGCCACTAAGACCGTCCCCCTGCCACACCCTGCCACTAAGACCGTCCCCCTGCCACTAAGACCGTCCCCCTGCCACACCCTGCCACACCCTGCCACTAAGACCGTCCCCCTGCCACTAAGACCGTCCCCCTGCCACACCCTGCCACATAGGCAATATCCTATTAATTACAAAGAGCACAAAGCATACATAATTAAATAGTAATGAGTGACAATGAATATGACGATGAGTTCTACGCCGTCACCAGACCCAAGGGATAGTCTGGATCACTCCCACTTCCAACACACAGCTCATGTATCATGTATCCTCCTTCAACATCATATACATTGCCTCCCAGCAAACACAATACGTAACTACAGCGTTATTTTAACTAGTGTTACTTAGGTGCTACTTTGTAAGAACGTAATAATACCGTCGGGTGTTTATGTTACTTGCCGGCTATGGCTCTCTGTGTGAGAGGAATTACTCAATATAAGACTCTTAGGGGAACCCGTTTGGTCGATAATGTTCTATTGCGAAATTGACCAGGATGGTGTGGTCCATTGCGGTGTGTTTCTGTGGTGTAACACCAGACCCGTAGCCAGTGTTGGGAGACGTGGACCATAGCCAGTGTTGGGAAGACTTCTAGGTAAGTGTTGGAGACGAATGTTGTCACTGTTCACGACCACACCACAATTGCCCCTCACTGACACCCACCATAGATGCGTTGATGAACCTAATTGAAACATCTTTTTTATTATTATTAATAAACTTAGGTATACACAGCAATGTGCTCCTACCCTACCCTATAATACGCTGTGTTTCATTAAATAATGAAAGATTACAAAGTTCAGATAAAAAACTAGCTATAAGTTCATCTAATATCCCCATCTCACAGGATAGTTAGTAATACATAGAATCATGAGAGCACATGAAATGCAAGGCTCCACTGGCAAAATCTGGGTACAGCACACGAATATCTTCCAATATTCGTGAGTATATGAAGTAATTACAGAGCTTGAAGTACCTCATTCCATTTGGTCTGAAGTCACTGATAACAGGATAATCACAGATATAGTGTTCGAGAGTATGTCCCAGCTCTTGTTCACCTAGTTTACAGTTGAAATGTTCAACACTGAGGGATTCATTACCTGCAGCCACCTGCCAAAGATATCGATATCCTATCCTAATTCCGGCAATTACAATGTCACACTGGATGTTTTATGCTGCCCGTACATATAGTTTTCGGTTCTAAACATGTCTCAGCTCTTTTCGAACCATCTTATATTCGAAAATATATCAGTCCACTCTCCTCTTCACGACGTCTAACGTAAGGAAAGATCTCACTTTCCAGTCTCCAGTCTCCTCTACACGACGTCCAAAGTAGTTGAAATACTTTTGCAGGACAACCGAAAACTGATTACCTTTAGTTTCAGTTTGCTGCTAAAAGTGAACTACTGAACTGAAAACTGCGACTGCTAAAAAATTAGGTCCCCGTGGTGTAGTGGTTAAGACACTCGTCTACTGTTTATCCAGGGTTCGTATCCTGGCCGGGGACTTACTGGGCGTCAATCCTTAACTGTAGCCTCTGTTTATCCAACAGTAAAATGGGTACCTGGTTGTTAAACGATTTGGCGGGTCGTATTCCACGGAACATAGGATTAAGGACTTGCCCGAAACGCTACGCATGATAATGGCTGTACAAGAATGTAAGAACTCTTGTTTATATTAAAATAAAATACAAAAACAGATTTATGATTCATGTCAATTCCACGTCATAAACAGTTATGCTCAGATCTTCCTCTATAAGGTGTCCTTTGTTCACTGAAGAATAACATATTTAAAGGTGTTTGTGGGTAAGGTTGTGTCATTATTTGGTAGGGACGCAACAATTGGTAGAGACGCAACAATTGGTAGGGACGCAACAATTGGTAGGGACGCAACAATTGGTAGGGACGCAACAATTGGTAGGGACGCAACAATTGGTAGAGACGCAACAATTGGTAGAGACGCAACAATTGGTAGGGACGCAACAATTGGTAGAGACGCAACAATTGGTAGGGACGCAACAATTGGTAGGGACGCAACAATTGGTAGAGACGCAACAATTGGTAGAGACGCAACAATTGGTAGGGACGCAACAATTGGTAGGGACGCAACATTTGGTAGAGACGCAACAATTGGTAGAGACGCAACAACTAGTAGAGACGCAAAGTTTTAAAGCTTAGCAAACTGAAGCTCCCGAGATGTGAAACTAAGCGTAATCAGTTTTCGGATGTCCTGCAAAAGTGTTTCAACTACTTTGGACGTCGTGTAGAGGAGACTGGACACTGGAAAGTGACACCTTTCCTTACGTTTGACGTTGTGAAGATGAGAGTGAATACTGGAAAGTGACACCTTTCCTCACGTTTGACGTCGTGACGAGGAGAGTGAACACTGGAAAGTGACACCTTTCCTCACGTTTGACGTCGTGAAGAGGAGAGGGAACACTGGAAAGTGACACCTTTCCTCACGTTTGACGTTGTGAAGATGAGAGTGAATACTGGAAAGTGACACCTTTCCTCACGTTTGACGTCGTGACGAGGAGAGTGAACACTGGAAAGTGACACCTTTCCTCACGTTTGACGTCGTGAAGAGGAGAGGGAACACTGGAAAGTGACACCTTTCCTCACGTTTGACGTCGTGAAGATGAGAGCGAACACTGGAAAGTGACACCTTTCCTTACGTTTGACGTCGTGAAGATGAGAGTGAACACTGGAAAGTGACACCTTTCCTTACGTTTGACGTCGTGAAGAGGAGAGGGAACACTGGAAAGTGACACCTTTCCTCACGTTTGACGTCGTGAAGATGAGAGTGAACACTGGAAAGTGACACCTTTCCTTACGTTTGACGTCGTGAAGATGAGAGTGAATACTGGAAAGTGACACCTTTCCTTACGTTTGACGTCGTGAAGAGGAGACTAGACACTGGAAAGTGACACTTTTCCTTACGATTGACGTCGTGAAGATGAGAGTGAATACTGGAAAGTGACACCTTTCCTTACGTTTGACGTCGTGAAGAGGAGACTGGACACTGGAAAGTGACACCTTTCCTCACGTTTGACGTCGTGAAGAGGAGAGTGAACACTGGAAAGTGACACCTTTCCTTACGTTTGACGTCGTGAAGATGAGACTGGACACTGGAAAGTGACACCTTTCCTTACGTTTGACGTCGTGAAGATGAGAGTGAACACTGAAAAGTGACACCTTTCCTCACGTTTGACGTCGTGAAGAGGAGAGTGAACACTGGAAAGTGACACCTTTCCTTACGTTTGACGTCGTGAAGATGAGACTGGACACTGGAAAGTGACACCTTTCCTTACGTTTGACGTCGTGAAGATGAGAGTGAACACTGGAAAGTGACACCTTTCCTCACGTTTGACGTCGTGAAGAGGAGAGTGAACACTTGAAAGTGACACCTTTCCTTACGTTTGACGTCGTGAAGATGAGACTGGACACCTGAAGGCGACATCTCTCTTCCCATGACTCTTATCGGGCTACAAATTTTCCATTGCTTCTGGCGCAAAACATAACATTGTTGACATTAGATAATAATAAATGATGAAACTCGACCAATCAATTATAACGTTTGAGTTTATAATCTTCCTTTTAAAATGGTCTATTGACATGATTATCAGTTTACAATTAGTAAAATAAATATTTTTTTTGGAACTCGGCTCAAGTCTGACGATAATTTCTGGTGTTGTGAGCCCAACCACTTAGGCTGGACGGTAGAGTGAGCTTCATGCAGGACGGCGTTCAATCCCCGACCGTCCAAGTGGTTGTAGAGCCCAGAACCGGTGTAGGAGCCTGTGTAGAGCCCAGAACCGGTGTGGGAGCCTGTGTAGAGCTCAGAACCGGTGTAGGAGCCTGTGTAGAGCCCAGAACCGGTGTGGGAGCCTGTGTAGAGCCCAGAACCGGTGTGGGAGCCTGTGTAGAGCCCAGAACCGGTGTGGGAGCCTGTGTAGAGCCCAGAACCGGTGTGGGAGCCTGTGTAGAGCCCAGAACCGGTGTAGGAGCCTGTGTATAGCCCAGAACCGTTGTAGGAACCTGTGTAGAACCCAGAACTGGTGTTGGAACCTGTGTAGAGCCCAGAACCGGTGTAGGAACCTGTGTAGAGCCCAGAACCGGTGTGGGAGCCTGTGTAGAACCCAGAACCGGTGTTGGAACCTGTGTAGAGCCCAGAACCGGTGTTGGAACCTGTGTAGAGCCCAGAACCGGTGTAGGAACCTGTGTAGAGCCCAGAACCGTTTTAGGAGCCTGTGTAGAGCCCAGAACCGGTGTTGGAACCTGTGTAGAGCCCAGAACCAGTGTGGGAGCCTGTGTAGAGCCCAGAACCGGTGTTGGAACCTGTGTAGAGCCCAGAACCGGTGTAGGAACCTGTGTAGAGCCCAGAACCGGTATTGGAACCTGTGTAGGGTCCAGAACCGGTGTAGGAGCCTGTGTAGAGCCCAGAACCGGTGTGGGAGCCTGTGTAGAGCCCAGAACCGGTGTAGGAGCCTGTGTAGAGCCCAGAACTGGTGTTGGAACCTGTGGAGAGCCCAGAACCGGTGTTGGAACCTGTGTAGAGGCCAGAACCGGTGTGGGAATCTGTGTAGAGCCCAGAACCGGTGTTGGAACCTGTGTAGAGCCCAGAACCGGAGTAGGAACCTGTGTAGAGCCCAGAACCGGTGTAGGAACCTGTGTAGAGCCCAGAACCGTTGTAGGAACCTGTGTAGAGCCCAGAACCGGTGTAGGAACCTGTGTAGAGCCCAGAACCGGTGTTGGAACCTGTGTATGAACCAATGTAGAGCCCAGAACCGGTGTTGGAACCTGTGTAGAGCCCAGAACCGGTGTTGGAACCTGTGTAGAGCCCAGAACCGGTGTTGGAACCTGTGTAGAACCCAGAACCGGTGTTGGAACCTGTGTAGGGCCCAGAACCGGTGTAAGAGCCTGTGTAGAACCCAGAACCAGTGTTGGAACCTGTGTAGAGGCCAGAACCGGTATAGGAAGCTGCGAACCTGTGTAAGTCCCATCATGGCTTCCACAGCGGAGTACACTCCCGCTCTACCAAATATTTTTATTTCTGGTGAAAAGTTTTTCTGCCTCTACCACATCACTTCCAAATACATCCCATTTATTAACTGCCCTTACATTAAAAAAGATACAAATCCGGGGGACGTGAGGTTCAATTCTCGTAGCCTTTCCGCGTGACTCTTACCTCTCAGCTGTGGGACTAGTCTGGTGGTTTATCTCTGAATCTTCTCTATCTTTGTCTTGTGTTTAACTAGGTATGGATTCCAGGCTGGAGCTGCATACTCCAGAATCGGTCTGACATAAGTGGTATACAAGGTTCCGAATGATTCCTGACACATATTTCTGAAGGCAATTTTTATGTTGGCCAACCTAGCATATGCCGCTGATGATATCCTTTTGATGTGTGGTTTCTGAGGACAGGTTCGGTGCGATATCAACCTGCAGACCCTTCTCTCTATTTGACTCGTGCAGGATTTCACCTCCCAGATGGTAACTTCTGTTCCGCCTCCTGCTCTCTTCACTTAATTTCATTATTTTACACTTACCTGAGTTAAACTTTAGTGGCCATTTTCTAGACCATTCCATCAGTTTGTCCAAGTCGTATTTTTTAATTTCTGGCCATACCTCTTTTAACACAAGACAAAGTTAGAGAAGATTCAGAAATATGCCGCCAGACTAGTCCCAGAGCTGAAAGGTAAGAGTTACGAGGAAAAGCTACGAGAATGTCCCCTGAAAAAATAATTTTGTCAATGTCAGGGTTGTTAATACCAATATGGCCGAGAGGCTAAGGCGCGACTGGCTTAAATCACTTAATAACAGAACAGAGAAAGTGTTTGAGTGATAATTTAATGGAAATAATTAACGATAATTTATTTAATCTTTATTATTTGCAAATGTTACCCTCAGCTAGATATGTCCTTAATCCTCTGAAGCAATGGATTTGGATTCTTCTCCGCCTATGAATTGAAAGAAACTGTACCATCCATTACAGCTACCGGTACAGGACACGTACAGACCAGCGTATTATACAACTGTCTTCTCCCGGTCCGTCACCCTCCACTCACAACCCACTTCACAGTTAATTCAACTCCCTAATCGCCGGTCGTTATATGTAAGGCGGGTTCTTGTAGGGTGGGTGGCAAAAGCCTGGGGCTTGTTTGATAGGTTGTTGACAGAGCTGACTTGTTGAGACAAGTCAAGCTGGTTATGGGAGGCGGGGGGTGGGGGGGTGGGGGGAGAGTGGACTTGTACTGTGTCTAGTTCCTTAAAGGCTGACCTAGTACACCTATGGAGGCTAAACTAGCTGTTATCATACGGGTCACTCCCAAAACCCTTTTAACCTTAATGCCGGCCGGGGGCACGAAGGAGAAGCGGAAGGCAGAAAGTGAGGGAGAAAGAGAGGTAATGAAATAGAAGGAGGGAAAAGTTGGAGTGAAGAGAGAGAGAGAGAGAAAGAGAGAGAGAGAGAGAGAGAGAGAGACAGAAAGAGAGAGACAGACAGACAGACAGACAGACAGACAGACAGACAGACAGACAGACAGACAGACAGACAGACAGACAGACAGACAGACAGACAGACAGACAGACAGAGAGAGGTGAGCCAGGGGTCACCTGAGCCAGGTGACCCCTGGCTCAGGTGTTGAGATATTAAAACAGAATTTTCAATTAAGATGTTTGTAAAATACTGACACGCCGTCTACTACATGGCGCCAGGTCCCTGGTAGTGAGGTCACCCCATCACCCCTTCTCACTTTATTAAAACGGGAGAGAGAGAAAGAAGGAAGGAAGAGGGAGAAGACATAGAGGGAATTAGAGTAAAATGAGAGAAAAGAAAGATTTCTCCTTGGTGTGACCACCTGGTGCCACCTGTTTACATTAATATATCATCGACCGCAGCGTTTGTACACTGTCAAAACCCAGAGAGTTTACAAGAACTTAGAAATAAGAATCTTTTACCTTTCTGTATACAAGTATATTAATTACCCTTGAGTGTACAGGCTACAACCTTTAATTCTCAGACAACTTAAGATACATGCAACAATTCTTGAACTTGAATTGAGATAAACGAGCCACAGTAAATGGCTTAGATAACTGAACCTTACCACCAGAAAACAAGCTCACGGCAGGAAGCGATAACGATATTATTATTAAATAGTAGTACAGCAGTTCCCGTTTCGAAGTGGTAACACACTCGCCTGACGTTTCGCGAGCGCTTTGGCCTAGGTTCGAATCCTCGCCGAAAAGGATTTATTGGGCGCTAATCCTTAACTGTAGCCTCTGTTCACCCAGCAGCGAATGGGTAACTGGTTGTAAAACGATTTGGCGGCTCGTATTCTGGGGAACATAGGATTAAGGACCCGCCCAAAACGCTATGTCTGCTAGTGGCTGTACAAGAATGTAAGAACTCTTGTGTATATAAATAAATATAAAACTATTAAGGAAACTCTGCAGAGCAGATACTAAATAGACATTCAAAAGGAAAGAAATAGTAGAAGATGAAGAAACTGATAAAATTTTTTATAACTTCCCCAAAGGGACATCAAAATAACTTTTTTCTCGTATGTGTTGCACATAAGACAGTCTAAGAATAATGCTGTTTAAGCATTGTCTACACATTTCTGAAAGCAAGAATGATAAGACAATGAAAAGAATAGTTATTGCATTTCTCAGTCGAGTGGTAGAATGTTGGGTTTAGGAACCGAGGCTCGATCATGCAAGCAGACTTAAGTGAGTATATACATATACACACACTCACAAACAAGTTATTCACAGTTGTAAATAGAGATATGACGGAGAATTCCGAAGGTGGGATTCAAGAGCCGCAGCTAACCCCCCTCAAATACAACTAGGTGAGTACAATGAGTGAATACTTGCACCGTGTACAACAACCGGAATGCACAGAGAGAAAATGTTGTGGAAGCCACCTCCATAGTCAAGTTTAAAGCCAGATTCGACAAAGAATTTCAACTGTTAGAATAGTTAGGGTGTAACGCCACAGGTACAACAAGGCTAGTAGTAACACACTCGCCTGGCGTTTCGCGAGCGCTTTGGTCTGGATTCGTATCCTGGGAAGGGCCAGGATAAGTAATGAGTTAGACCTCACTTTCCCTTAGCCACGTATACGTAGCAATCACACGCACAAACATACTCTCCCGTTCAAACACGCAAACAAACACACACATGCTGTCACAAACACATAGAACCCAAATAAACACACCCAAATTCAAACAATCTCAAACACACACACACAAACTTACACATATGCCAATACACTCACACACACTTGCCTACACACACTCCTCCATTGAAGATTATGATTAAAGCCCCATGTAAACAGAAGCTAGCAAAGCATAAGATGGTCTCAATAGCTAACCAGGATTGATGGCAGAATGTATTTACTCCCGCGTCACACACACATACACACACACACACACACACACACACACACACAACACACACACACACACACACACACACACACACACACACACACACACACACACACACACACACACACACACACACACACACACACACACACACACACACACACACACAAACACACAATGAAGGGAACAGCCTACCTGTAACGATTCGAGAAAGAGACCTGGGAGTGGATGTGACACCTAATCTAACTCCTGAGGCACATATAATAGGATAACGACAGCAGCGTACTCTACACTGGCGAAAATTAGAACTTCATTCAGAAACCTAAATGAGGAAGCTTTTAGGGCGCTTTACACTGCCTACGTGAGACCCGTCTTGGAGTATGCCGCGCCATCATGGAGCCCCCACCTGAAGAAACACATAAAGAAACTGGAGAAGGTTCAGAGGTTTGCGACGAGGCTTGTCCCAGAGCTACGAGGGATGGGATATGAAGAGCGGCTGAAGGAACTGAACCTTACGACACTAGAGAAAGAAGGGAGAGAGGAGATATGATAGGGACATATAAAATACTCAGGGAATTGACAAAGTGGAAATAGATGAAATGTTCACACGTAATAATAACAGAACGAGGGGACATGGGTGGAAACTGGAAACTCAGATGAGTCACAGAGATGTTAGGAAGTTTTCTTTTAGCGTGAGAGTAGTAGAAAAATGGAATGCCTTGGGGAACAGGTTGTGGAAGCAAATACTATTCATACTTTTAAAACTAGGTATGATAGGGAAATGGGACAGGAGTCATTGCTGTAAACAACCGATAGCTAGAAAGGCGGGATCCAAGAGTCAATGCTCGATCCTGCAAGCACATATAGGTGAGTACATATAGGTGAGTACACACACACTATCCCTCCTCCCCCCTCACCCCGTATCCTCCATGTCCCCCCTATCTCCTTAACCCACACCCTACCTGTCCCCCCTTCCCTTAAACCCCCACCCCAAAATCCTCTGAGACCCTGCAAACCACCTCATAGATCCTCTCACCCACGGAACAGCTTAAGCCCAGACACATGGAGAGCTAAGCTGCTGGATGTGGCAACAAGAAACTTTTTAAGTCAACGCGTCAAGGGACAGACAAGAATGAGAGGAGGGGATGAACCAGCCTTGCTTGATCTGATATTTACCCTAAATGAGTCGGATGTAAGGGAAGTTAAGTTGGAAGCCCCCTTGGGAATGAGTGATCATAGTGTATTGAGCTTTGAGTACCTGGTCGAGCTGGGAATTATCACCCCCAAAAAAGAGCTGGGAACCGAAGGGCTGGCGTACCGAAAGGAAAAATATGAGGAAATGGATAAATTCCTATGGGATATACATTGGGACACAGAACTCGGAACCAAGTCCGTACAAGACATGATGGACTATGTCACCCAATAATGTCAGGAGGCTGTAAGCAGGTTTGTCCCAGCCCAACAGGAAATAACAGAGAAGCAAAGGAAGAATCCGTGGTTTAATAGGGAATGTATGAAAGCAAAGGAGATGAACAAAAGGGCATGGAGTAACTTCCGTAATAACAGAACACCAGAAAGTAGAGAGAGATATCAGA